AAGACAAACCAGAGAAACCACTACTCTAGAAGACAAACCAAATAAATTGCAATTGTTTTTATTTGGGCCATTCTTCTGCCCTAAATCGTAGAAGCCACCACTCCAGGTTACCAATGAGCAGCAACCAGCGTTCAGGCTACCAACGAGCAGCAACCACTGATCAGCAACTAGGGAGCAGCAATCACCGATCAACGACAGAGATCAGCAACCAGCTATTTACAATCTTTATGTCCGTTTGTGACGTTTCTATATGTGTAGTGCATTTTTGTAGGAAGGATTGGAGTAAATTTGTGAGTGGGCTGTTGTTGGGTTGACACTTGGCAGAGAAAAACAGTGGAGGCTAGAGAGTTATGGTTTGATTACTCTTTCTCAAGTTGGTCTGATAGATATCTATCTACAAACCCAGTTAATGATATTTTATTGAGAGTATCTTCACAGATGAGGGATTTGATATTTTATTGTTGATTTTTTTTGTCATATGACAAATTGTATGTATTTTAGATATATTTTTATATTTTTTAGTTAAATTATGATGTTTTATAATTATTATATATATATTTTTATTTTTTTATTATATGACCAGTCCGACCAGTTGACTCACCGGTTAAACCAATGAATCATTGATTCAATCCCCTAGCCAGTTCGATGACCAATCCGATTTTGTTAATATTGCTCGTCAGCGTCATTGTCGCCACCCCCACCACCACCACCCCACTAGTGCCCAACCATCACCATTTTCCATTACACCACTATTGTTTCCCCCACCTTACCACCCCCGCCACTGTCCCACCACCACTATCACCATTATCACTCATGGTTACTATCATCACAACTATCACCGTCTCTTATCACCACCTCTGCCGCCCATAATCATTACTATCGTTCGCTCCCATTATAATCGGTGTTTAAATTTATCTCTTTCCTCTATCTTTGTAATTTAATTTTAGGTGTGAATACAAATAGATTTATTGTTGACATTTTTTTGTTACTCCGTATATTCAAGCACGTGAAATAACTAGTATTAGAAAATCACACCATCATTTAACTATGCTATTCTTAAATTCTCAAAAATCATTAATGAATGGTGCAATAGAATAAAAAAAAATGCTAAAACTTGTGAAGTTGGGTAGTAAATATTCAATATAATGATGATATCACGTTATTATTGTCACATAATGTCACTATACAATTAAAAAATTACAAATGAACAAAGTGAATTATAATACTTTCATAACTACCAAGAACTATCATATCCAATCATCAATATATAGAATTGTTCACTTTATCTATTGAGTAAATTATATATATGATTATCAAATTATAATTTTTGTGTCAATTAAACTCTTGAATTTTTTTTTTCTCGTATCAATTGACTTCATTAACTCTTTAATTGTGTAAATTAAACATTCTGCCTGGTAAGCAATATAAGCATCAAAATATTTTGGAAAAATCTAAAAAAGATGATGCCATGATTAAGAGCGGTAAACGAGCCAAACGAGTTCAAGCCTGTGTTTAACAATTTTCTTTTTTTAAAACAAGATTAAAAAAATGTTGAAACTTGACTAATTTTTTTAAAAAAGAGTTTGAGTCGAGCCCAAAACAAACCGAATTCAAATAACTCGTTTATTTTATATATAAATGAGTCGAATTTTAAAAGTTTGAGCCAAGTTTTTAATATTTATTTTTAAACAAGTTTAAAAAATTATTCAAATTCAACTTATTTTTTAAACAAGTATTAAAAATTATTCAAATTTAATTATTTTTTAAACGAATAAAATTAAATTGAGTTCAAAATGAGTCAAATCCAAACCGAACCGAACCGAACTTAAGTGGTTAGAATCGTTCACCCATGATGTTTTAAATAGTGGTTAATTTCAAAAATTTCTTATTTTTTGCATCCAAAATAAAAACACAAAAAGACAGATTGCTTTGAAATGTAGCTGGGAAAGTGGGACCCCCAGAATTGGGCCGTGAAACGTACTGCCGGGTTTATCTGGCGATACTATATAGAAACCATCATCCAAATGTCTGGATCGCACGGCTAGAGATATAAAGGAGGTTGACGGCGACAGAGAAACAGAGGAAGAGAGAGATTGATGGCGGTGGCCAACGCTTGGGCTACGGGGCACTTAACAATCCCGATGCCCCATATTGAACAGAACATCTCACTCTTCATCTTTTTCTTCGTCTTTCTTTTTGATTGTTCCATTGCCAAGAAATCTGCTAATTTCTTATCAAAGTTTTCGTCCACCGTCCTCAACCCACAAAACTACCACCTGGTCCAGCCGGCCTCCCCGTAGTCGGCTCACTCCTCCAACTCGGACCTCTAGTCCATGAATCACTCGCCGAGTTAGCTAAACTTCACGGCCCACTCCTGACTCTCCGACTCGGTTCCATCACCAACATAGAATATAGTCGCCTCCACACCTGAAACAACCAGATAAATCCTCCAAAAAAACGACCAGACCTTCTCCGACAGCCACGTCCCCGACGTTGTCAGCTCACAACCCAACCACGAAGCTACCATTACCATTGCATGGATCCCCGGCGACCACAAGTGGCGCAACCTCCGCCGTATAATCAACACACAAGTCCTCACCACCCGAAGGCTCGACTGACTTCAACATCTACGCCATAAAAAAGCCCAAGAACTCGTTCTTCACATCAGAAAACACTGTGTTTCGGGTACCTCGGTTGAGATAGGCCCTCTGTGTTCTATGTTCTTGTGGATTGTTCTTCTGAAGTTTATGAATACCCACGTGTTTCACTTCTGTCTTGATGAAAAATAAATGTACTAGAAACTGCTGACAATGTTTTTCTAGTACAAGTGTGGAAATATCATAAATAAAATTATTGTTGCTATTATTATTTTGTTTGTTTCAATTAAATTTGAATTAATTATCAGCCCCCTAAATCGGAGTTACCAAATTGTCCGTAAGATTATACAAAAAAAGAGAGATGGAAATATTTTCTTGTTTTTAAACAATAAAAAATATATTAATCTTATTTTCTGTGATTTCATCTTTCCTTCCACCTTTAACAAACACACCATTAAGAACCAAAGTTCAACAGTGGTCCATGGCATTCTTCAAGAAAACCTTATACCCCACGGATTTTACTTTTTACTTCTTTACCCATTTTTATTTTTTTTTTTCCTCTCCACCCAATTTCTTCTTATGGGTCAATGTCGCATCACATCTAAAACTTTTTCTCTCTATTTCTTTGTTTGACAGATTATCTATCATGTATTAGAGAGTGGCTTAATTATATATAATTTATTTTACTTAAATTCATTATTGAAGATCTATTAGCGGGAAAAAAAAAGAAAAAAAAATCATGCTGCCCAAAAAAATTGTATTGGAGTTGGAGGTGATCCTACCAATAAATAGATGTGCTACACTGAAAAACTACTAACTTTATGGTTCTATCTACACCAAAATATCCATTCAATAGAAACCATGGGCCAAGATGATCCAATTGTCGGGTGATCCCGGGGAGGAGAAAATATTGGATGCAGCCATGATATATAATTTATAGAAATTGCAAATTTTAATATAATAATAATTTATTATTATATGATTTATAATTTATACAAAATTTATTTAATATTTAAAATTGGAGTCAAAATAATTTCGAAAAGAATTTTAGACTCATTTCAGCTCCGTCTTTGAAGTAGGAGTCTGTATGAAATTTTCGAATTCTTACGTACCTTTAATTCTATCTGCTTGCGGGGTGTAACATTGTCACGAAGATGCCTGTTATCAATGTCATTTGATGTTATTAACTAATAATAAAATATCAAGTAAATTTTATTAATTTAATAACTATGAAATTCACAAATTATATTTATTATTTTATAATTAAATAATAATATTATCTTATATTATATTAATGATGTGGTTTTACCTCCCAATCCTTAGTCCAACTATTGGGCCAGTTTCATTTTAATTGGTAGTATCCCGCGTCAGACACAAGCACGAATAACAGTGTGATAGTGCTTCTCTACTCAACTTTCTCACACTCTCTCTCTCTAGCTTCTCTCTTTAGTCCCAATTTTTTTCTGCAAATTTTTTGGGAATTGAAGGAAGAAAAGAGACCATGAAGAGTCACCGAAACGATCCGAACCCTTTTGACGAAGAAGAACAAGAAGTCAATCCATTTTCGGTAATCGTTCTGTACATTTTTCATTTTCCTGTTGTATCCTTGCTAAATCTGCTTATTTTTAGCTTTTTCCAATGTCAATTTGTTCACTTCAAGTTTAATGTATCTATTTAGTAGTTGATTTCGCCAATGTGCTTATTTGTTCGGCGTTTATTGTTTTCATGTATATTTTGGTAAATGGTGCTTGTCTGATCTAGATCTGAGAACCATTGCTTTTGGGTTTTTGTGTACAGAATTTATTGTGTAGAATGTTCCTGTGTAATGGGGTACTTCGGAATTTGAAGGTAGAATTGTAGATATTTCTTTTGGGTTGGATTTGTAGGGGTTATATGTTGTGGATCTAATAGTCATGTGAAAGTAGTCAAAGTACTATATGTGCCTTATTTTTTTTTTTTTTTAACTAACTACTTGTAATAAAAAAGATTACAAAATGGGTTTGTGATTTTGTGGAAGTGGACACAAGGAGCAAGCTTAGGACTCCCCGCAAAGCTTTAAAGGCTAGGTTATCCCTTAGCCTAGCTCTAGCTAGTAGGTGCTCCCTTAGTAGTATATCATAAACATAGGCTGCTGAATCGACATGAAAAAAAGAGTCCACTTCTGCCGCAGCCACTGCTTCATGGCAAGTCCCCCTGCTACTGGATCGGATCCCGCATTCCTTTCTGATGTACTGAATATTAAGCCTATGGATGCCAAAAAATTTCAATCCGCATGTGGCCTTAAGTTACAATTTAATTGTTCTTATTTTAGGGCAGATTTTCATTTGGAATGTGTATTTAGAGCATGTTGGTTTGGATACCTTAATACCATGTTTGGATCATGCTATAGATTCCAGTCTCATACAATGAGCTAATACTGGCCCTGCAGTGTCAAGTAACACCATGTACTCAGTAAAATCACAGCTTGTGATATGTGGTATAAAATCAATTGTATTGACATACCCGTGTCCTGGTTTTGGATGCAATAGTGTTTTCGTCTTTTATAAGGTTATACCATACAATAATCTCCATTCGAAACATAAGATTGCTATTCTGTATTCACATCTTATTCCAATATTGAAATAAGGACGGTATAGGTGAAATAAAAAAAATGGTGTATGGATTGATTAGAATCGATTGTCTTCTCTAATTTCATGTTGTGTCCGTACCAAAAGTTTCCATACTAAGTTGACTAGTACTAATTCAAAGTGTCCAATTATCAGGGGACTGTGTATAACCACATTTGATTGTGTTATGCTCAACAACTTTGACTTAATGGACGGCACTACCTTTTTTTTTCATGTTATTTATCATTCTGCCCATCATTTGTTCTTGCTACATTCCCCCCCCAAAAAAAAGAGGAAAGAGAGAAAATAAGATTACCAAATTCGTGGCCGTTTCTTGTGCCAGGTGTATTAATTTTGGTGTTTTTCTTGTTCCTTAAATTGTGGAATCAGTTTTCTTGAATAAAGTCATATGTTTTTCTTGTTCTTGTTATTTAAAATAAGTTATATGTTGCCACTTGCCATGCCTTTTATATTGTTGTACATGATTGGGACTTGCAATTTTCTCTTTGCACTTGCAATTTTGTCTTTGCAATCTGAAATTTTCTTGTTACATTTGTTTAATTCATGTTTGTTTGAACATGCCATTAATCGAAGTACATTACAGAATGGCAGTGCTGCTCCTGGATCGAAGTCACGATTTCCTAAAATGGTTGCTGATACATTGGGTTTTGGTCAGAAACACGATGCTACTGTGGATATACCATTGGATACTATGAATGTAATGGAGCACTGTTTCATAAACATGTAGTTACTGTTTGGAATTATGATCAGTATTGTAGGTATGGTGTTACAGGATCCTAAGAAAAAGGAGAAAGAACTTGCAGCTTGGGAAGCAGACCTGAAAAGGAGGGAACGGGTTAGTTTTGCAGTTCTATTACTTTTTACTTTCTTACAAAAGTACTTTATAAATTGACTATGTTTTTGTTGGTGTGAATTATCATCTGTCTTGCTAAGGATGTGTTTTGCAACACGATATGTCAATTATATGTCAACGTTGCTTCATCATGATATATATTGGTTTAGCAAATGTTTATAATATATATTCTTACAAAATTTTAGTTCTGTGTTGGTGCATTGTACTAACCAACTTGTCCTTGCTCAGGAGATTAAACGTAGAGAAGATGCTGTTGCCACCGGTGAGCAATAGATAATTGCTAACAACAATGTTGCTATTACGGCATATAGGATTGCTTTTCAGCATGTTGTGACATTTTTTTATTTGTCTCTCTCCATGGTGCAAATTTGCAATTCAGCTGGCGTCCCTTCAGATGACAAAAACTGGCCTCCCTTTTTTCCAATTATTCATCATGATATAGCAAATGAAATACCACCCAATGCTCAGAGGTTGCAGTATTTGGCTTTTGCAAGCTGGTTAGGTAAGGAGTTCATACTCTTTTATCTTATGATTTTGTAGAAAGTATGGAGGTGATTGTATTCTCAAAGAGCTTCCTATGTTTCCAAATGGACCAAGCAGGAAACAGCCTCAAACTTTTACTTTATCAATTGGCTTCGGTATCTATCTTTGGTGATAAGACTTGCATGGGTCTATGTTTTTTCTATTTGCGTGCTGAATGTGGATGCTACAAGCATTAGTATTTTTGTTACTCATTGAGTTTTTCGATAACGCATGCAGGTATTGTTCTTTGCCTTGTGTTTAACATTGTCGCGGTGATAGTTTGTTGGATAAAGGGTGGTGGTAAGTTATCTTTTTTAAAGAACTTTCGGTGCATTGAAGAGAAATGTAGGTGACAGGGCTTCAGTTTAGGGCTTCTGACGTTGTTGATTACCTTCAGGTGTCAAAATATTTTTCCTGGCAACAATATATGCACTACTTGGATGCCCACTTTCATATTTTCTGTGGTACAGGCCTCTCTATCGTGCAATGAGGTAATAGTTATTCCTTCTGCTGTTTTTTCCTTTGCCTTTTCTTTTTTGATTTGTGTCATCTATAGAAATAGAAAATGCCCAGTATTATGTAATGAGCTTTGCGGGAATGCTATGTTTTGTAGGAGCTTAGCAAAAAACGTGTCTGCTGTTGGGCTAGGCTATTTTTCTTTGATAAGAAACATAACTTTTCATTTATAAGATTGAAAGATTGCAAAATGGTGGTTGACCTATTATAGAAAGGCTGTCGGGTAGCTGCTTTTGCACCCCTACATTTGACTGATAGGTCGTGGAGTTTTTCTTTTGCCTTTCTCCTTTTTTCATAACAATCATGAGTGGTGTAGACTTAGTCAGAAACAAGAGAAATACATGGAGTCTCTGTATTTAATGTTTTTTGAGTGCAAATTTGTTGTGTTTTTGCTCACACTCTCCTGTATGTGGGTTGCAAGGATGGTTTGTAGCTACAATATTTTTTTTTTGAATTGCATGTTTCCTATGATGAGCTTTTCCTGATCAATTCTTACTTTTGGGTTTGGATGTTTAGAACACACAAGTGCTTCTATCAAGTTCTCAAGACACGTTGCAAATCTTTCTAGCAGTTTATCCAAGCCTGACAACTTCAATGTTGCCTTTTGGTTAAAGCCTTCGTAAACTACAAGTTCTTTGTTGTTAAATTATAAATGAAGTTCTTGTATTTGTCATATAGTGCACAAGTATATGCCCTCCCTTGTTATGAATTTCTTTTATTCGGGAATAAATATATCATATTTTATGATAATAGCTTGTCAACTGACAAAAAAAAAAAAAAGCAATTTAGTTTGCAATACAAGGTTTCTGTTGTTGAGAAGAGGGATCGAGTTACCATGCATGTCTATTTGAGTAAAATGGTAGGTGACAAGGGTCTTATTGTATGAAAGATGGAACGGATGTGTGTTGTGAAAGGTTGTTATGGGGAGACTGAATCAGTTTCTAATATGTTTACCATGTGCTAGATTGGCAAAAATGCACTCTAATTTTGTATTCCAAGAACATACTAGAGTTTTAGTNAACCGAACCGAACCGAACTTAAGTGGTTAGAATCGTTCACCCATGATGTTTTAAATAGTGGTTAATTTCAAAAATTTCTTATTTTTTGCATCCAAAATAAAAACACAAAAAGACAGATTGCTTTGAAATGTAGCTGGGAAAGTGGGACCCCCAGAATTGGGCCGTGAAACGTACTGCCGGGTTTATCTGGCGATACTATCTAGAAACCATCATCCAAATGTCTGGATCGCACGGCTAGAGATATAAAGGAGGTTGACGGCGACAGAGAAACAGAGGAAGAGAGAGATAGATGGCGGTGGCCAACGCTTGGGCTACGGGGCACTTAACAATCCCGATGCCCCATATTGAACAGAACATCTCACTCTTCATCTTTTTCTTCGTCTTTCTTTTTGATTGTTCCATTGCCAAGAAATCTGCTAATTTCTTATCAAAGTTTTCGTCCACCGTCCTCAACCCACAAAACTACCACCTGGTCCAGCCGGCCTCCCCGTAGTCGGCTCACTCCTCCAACTCGGACCTCTAGTCCATGAATCACTCGCCGAGTTAGCTAAACTTCACGGCCCACTCCTGACTCTCCGACTCGGTTCCATCACCAACATAGAATATAGTCGCCTCCACACCTGAAACAACCAGATAAATCCTCCAAAAAAACGACCAGACCTTCTCCGACAGCCCCGTCCCCGACGTTGTCAGCTCACAACCCAACCACGAAGCTACCATTACCATTGCATGGATCCCCGGCGACCAAAAGTGGCGCAACCTCCGCCGTATAATCAACACACAAGTCCTCACCACCCGAAGGCTCGACTGACTTCAACATCTACGCCATAAAAAAGCCCAAGAACTCGTTTTTCACATCAGAAAACACTGTGTTTCGGGTACCTCGGTTGAGATAGGCCCTCTGTGTTCTATGTACTTGTGGATTGTTCTTCTGAAGTTTATGAACACCCAAGTGTTTTACTTCTGTCTTGATGAAAAATAAATGTACTAGAAACTGCTTAAAATGTTTTTCTAGTACAAGTGTCGAAATATCATAAATTATTGTTGCTGTTATTGTATTGTTATTACTATTACTTTATTTGTTTTAATTAAATTTGAATTAATTATCATCTCCCTAAATCGGAGTTACCAAATTGTCAGTAAGATTATACAAAACAAAAGAGCGAAGGAAATATTTTCTTTTTTTAAACAATAGAAAGTATATTAATCTTATTTTCTGTCATTTCATCCTTCCATCCACCTCTAACAAACACATCATTAAGAACAAAAGTTCAACAGTGGTCCATGGCATTCTTCAAGAAAACCTTATACCCCACGGATTTTACTTTTTCCTTCTTTACCCATTTTTTTTTTTTCCTCTCCACCGACATATGTGCCAATTTCTTCTTATGGGTCAATGTCGCATCACATCTAACACTTTTTCTCTCTATTTCTTTGTTTGACAGATTATCTATCATGTATTAGAGAGTGGCTTAATTATATATAATTTATTTTACTTAAATTCATTATTGAAGATCTATTAGCGGGAAAAAAAAAGAAAAAAAAATCATGCTGCCCAAAAAAATTGTATTGGAGTTGGAGGTGATCCTACCAATAAATAGATGTGCTACACTGAAAAACTACTAACTTTATGGTTCTATCTACACCAAAATATCCATTCAATAGAAACCATGGGCCAAGATGATCCAATTGTCGGGTGATCCCGGGGAGGAGAAAATATTGGATGCAGCCATGATATATAATTTATAGAAATTGCAAATTTTAATATAATAATAATTTATTATTATATGATTTATAATTTATACAAAATTTATTTAATATTTAAAATTGGAGTCAAAATAATTTCGAAAAGAATTTTAGACTCATTTCAGCTCCGTCTTTGAAGTAGGAGTCTGTATGAAATTTTCGAATTCTTACGTACCTTTAATTCTATCTGCTTGCGGGGTGTAACATTGTCACGAAGATGCCTGTTATCAATGTCATTTGATGTTATTAACTAATAATAAAATATCAAGTAAATTTTATTAATTTAATAACTATGAAATTCACAAATTATATTTATTATTTTATAATTAAATAATAATATTATCTTATATTATATTAATGATGTGGTTTTACCTCCCAATCCTTAGTCCAACTATTGGGCCAGTTTCATTTTAATTGGTAGTATCCCGCGTCAGACACAAGCACGAATAACAGTGTGATAGTGCTTCTCTACTCAACTTTCTCACACTCTCTCTCTCTAGCTTCTCTCTTTAGTCCCAATTTTTTTCTGCAAATTTTTTGGGAATTGAAGGAAGAAAAGAGACCATGAAGAGTCACCGAAACGATCCGAACCCTTTTGACGAAGAAGAACAAGAAGTCAATCCATTTTCGGTAATCGTTCTGTACATTTTTCATTTTCCTGTTGTATCCTTGCTAAATCTGCTTATTTTTAGCTTTTTCCAATGTCAATTTGTTCACTTCAAGTTTAATGTATCTATTTAGTAGTTGATTTCGCCAATGTGCTTATTTGTTCGGCGTTTATTGTTTTCATGTATATTTTGGTAAATGGTGCTTGTCTGATCTAGATCTGAGAACCATTGCTTTTGGGTTTTTGTGTACAGAATTTATTGTGTAGAATGTTCCTGTGTAATGGGGTACTTCGGAATTTGAAGGTAGAATTGTAGATATTTCTTTTGGGTTGGATTTGTAGGGGTTATATGTTGTGGATCTAATAGTCATGTGAAAGTAGTCAAAGTACTATATGTGCCTTATTTTTTTTTTTTTTTAACTAACTACTTGTAATAAAAAAGATTACAAAATGGGTTTGTGATTTTGTGGAAGTGGACACAAGGAGCAAGCTTAGGACTCCCCGCAAAGCTTTAAAGGCTAGGTTATCCCTTAGCCTAGCTCTAGCTAGTAGGTGCTCCCTTAGTAGTATATCATAAACATAGGCTGCTGAATCGACATGAAAAAAAGAGTCCACTTCTGCCGCAGCCACTGCTTCATGGCAAGTCCCCCTGCTACTGGATCGGATCCCGCATTCCTTTCTGATGTACTGAATATTAAGCCTATGGATGCCAAAAAATTTCAATCCGCATGTGGCCTTAAGTTACAATTTAATTGTTCTTATTTTAGGGCAGATTTTCATTTGGAATGTGTATTTAGAGCATGTTGGTTTGGATACCTTAATACCATGTTTGGATCATGCTATAGATTCCAGTCTCATACAATGAGCTAATACTGGCCCTGCAGTGTCAAGTAACACCATGTACTCAGTAAAATCACAGCTTGTGATATGTGGTATAAAATCAATTGTATTGACATACCCGTGTCCTGGTTTTGGATGCAATAGTGTTTTCGTCTTTTATAAGGTTATACCATACAATAATCTCCATTCGAAACATAAGATTGCTATTCTGTATTCACATCTTATTCCAATATTGAAATAAGGACGGTATAGGTGAAATAAAAAAAATGGTGTATGGATTGATTAGAATCGATTGTCTTCTCTAATTTCATGTTGTGTCCGTACCAAAAGTTTCCATACTAAGTTGACTAGTACTAATTCAAAGTGTCCAATTATCAGGGGACTGTGTATAACCACATTTGATTGTGTTATGCTCAACAACTTTGACTTAATGGACGGCACTACCTTTTTTTTTCATGTTATTTATCATTCTGCCCATCATTTGTTCTTGCTACATTCCCCCCCCCAAAAAAAGAGGAAAGAGAGAAAATAAGATTACCAAATTCGTGGCCGTTTCTTGTGCCAGGTGTATTAATTTTGGTGTTTTTCTTGTTCCTTAAATTGTGGAATCAGTTTTCTTGAATAAAGTCATATGTTTTTCTTGTTCTTGTTATTTAAAATAAGTTATATGTTGCCACTTGCCATGCCTTTTATATTGTTGTACATGATTGGGACTTGCAATTTTCTCTTTGCACTTGCAATTTTGTCTTTGCAATCTGAAATTTTCTTGTTACATTTGTTTAATTCATGTTTGTTTGAACATGCCATTAATCGAAGTACATTACAGAATGGCAGTGCTGCTCCTGGATCGAAGTCACGATTTCCTAAAATGGTTGCTGATACATTGGGTTTTGGTCAGAAACACGATGCTACTGTGGATATACCATTGGATACTATGAATGTAATGGAGCACTGTTTCATAAACATGTAGTTACTGTTTGGAATTATGATCAGTATTGTAGGTATGGTGTTACAGGATCCTAAGAAAAAGGAGAAAGAACTTGCAGCTTGGGAAGCAGACCTGAAAAGGAGGGAACGGGTTAGTTTTGCAGTTCTATTACTTTTTACTTTCTTACAAAAGTACTTTATAAATTGACTATGTTTTTGTTGGTGTGAATTATCATCTGTCTTGCTAAGGATGTGTTTTGCAACACGATATGTCAATTATATGTCAACGTTGCTTCATCATGATATATATTGGTTTAGCAAATGTTTATAATATATATTCTTACAAAATTTTAGTTCTGTGTTGGTGCATTGTACTAACCAACTTGTCCTTGCTCAGGAGATTAAACGTAGAGAAGATGCTGTTGCCACCGGTGAGCAATAGATAATTGCTAACAACAATGTTGCTATTACGGCATATAGGATTGCTTTTCAGCATGTTGTGACATTTTTTTATTTGTCTCTCTCCATGGTGCAAATTTGCAATTCAGCTGGCGTCCCTTCAGATGACAAAAACTGGCCTCCCTTTTTTCCAATTATTCATCATGATATAGCAAATGAAATACCACCCAATGCTCAGAGGTTGCAGTATTTGGCTTTTGCAAGCTGGTTAGGTAAGGAGTTCATACTCTTTTATCTTATGATTTTGTAGAAAGTATGGAGGTGATTGTATTCTCAAAGAGCTTCCTATGTTTCCAAATGGACCAAGCAGGAAACAGCCTCAAACTTTTACTTTATCAATTGGCTTCGGTATCTATCTTTGGTGATAAGACTTGCATGGGTCTATGTTTTTTCTATTTGCGTGCTGAATGTGGATGCTACAAGCATTAGTATTTTTGTTACTCATTGAGTTTTTCGATAACGCATGCAGGTATTGTTCTTTGCCTTGTGTTTAACATTGTCGCGGTGATAGTTTGTTGGATAAAGGGTGGTGGTAAGTTATCTTTTTTAAAGAACTTTCGGTGCATTGAAGAGAAATGTAGGTGACAGGGCTTCAGTTTAGGGCTTCTGACGTTGTTGATTACCTTCAGGTGTCAAAATATTTTTCCTGGCAACAATATATGCACTACTTGGATGCCCACTTTCATATTTTCTGTGGTACAGGCCTCTCTATCGTGCAATGAGGTAATAGTTATTCCTTCTGCTGTTTTTTCCTTTGCCTTTTCTTTTTTGATTTGTGTCATCTATAGAAATAGAAAATGCCCAGTATTATGTAATGAGCTTTGCGGGAATGCTATGTTTTGTAGGAGCTTAGCAAAAAACGTGTCTGCTGTTGGGCTAGGCTATTTTTCTTTGATAAGAAACATAACTTTTCATTTATAAGATTGAAAGATTGCAAAATGGTGGTTGACCTATTATAGAAAGGCTGTCGGGTAGCTGCTTTTGCACCCCTACATTTGACTGATAGGTCGTGGAGTTTTTCTTTTGCCTTTCTCCTTTTTTCATAACAATCATGAGTGGTGTAGACTTAGTCAGAAACAAGAGAAATACATGGAGTCTCTGTATTTAATGTTTTTTGAGTGCAAATTTGTTGTGTTTTTGCTCACACTCTCCTGTATGTGGGTTGCAAGGATGGTTTGTAGCTACAATATTTTTTTTTTGAATTGCATGTTTCCTATGATGAGCTTTTCCTGATCAATTCTTACTTTTGGGTTTGGATGTTTAGAACACACAAGTGCTTCTATCAAGTTCTCAAGACACGTTGCAAATCTTTCTAGCAGTTTATCCAAGCCTGACAACTTCAATGTTGCCTTTTGGTTAAAGCCTTCGTAAACTACAAGTTCTTTGTTGTTAAATTATAAATGAAGTTCTTGTATTTGTCATATAGTGCACAAGTATATGCCCTCCCTTGTTATGAATTTCTTTTATTCGGGAATAAATATATCATATTTTATGATAATAGCTTGTCAACTGACAAAAAAAAAAAAAAGCAATTTAGTTTGCAATACAAGGTTTCTGTTGTTGAGAAGAGGGATCGAGTTACCATGCATGTCTATTTGAGTAAAATGGTAGGTGACAAGGGTCTTATTGTATGAAAGATGGAACGGATGTGTGTTGTGAAAGGTTGTTATGGGGAGACTGAATCAGTTTCTAATATGTTTACCATGTGCTAGATTGGCAAAAATGCACTCTAATTTTGTATTCCAAGAACATACTAGAGTTTTAGTCGAGTATACCAAAGTTTGTACAGTTTTGGCTCAGAATAGTACGCAGCATGATCATCAAATGGGTCACTATAACTATTTATTTCTGTTTTGCAGGACAGATAGTGCCTTGAAATTTGGTTGGTTTTTCCTGTTCTACTTGGTATGTATCTTTGATGAGCCTTGATTGTTAGTCTCCTTTGATAGTTATTGTTCTTTTTCTTTATGTGATGTCATTGGCATTGTGCAGATCCACATTGTTTTTTGCATATTTGCTGCTATAGCTCCTCCAATTGTCTTTCATGGAAAATCATTGACGTAAGTTTTCATTTTTCTTCAGTCTGTCTTATGGGTTTTTATTAACTTATTTCTGAAAAGGAGGTTGATCAGAGATGGATGGTTATCTTGTCTTGGTTTTCTCGTCTCATAAATTTTTTCAGGTTTTGATCACACAGTATCTCTGGACCACTTTATCCCTTCACTGAATAGCATCGTTTTCAGTTTTCCTAACAATTATAGTTCGGTGGATCTACTTCCACTGTTTAATTACTGCTGTGTTTCTCAATTTGACTGATGGCTTCAATATTTCAAAATTTTACAAGAAAGTAGTTATACTTGGTTTTACTCAATAATTATGAAAATCATGCTTTGTCTCTCCTTCCTTGCTTTGGTCTACTCTGTTGGTATCCGATAAACAAGAGTTGATTTTCTCTGCATCTTAAATTGCCTCAAGGTAGTTGCATCATGATCGCTTTTTTCACATCTCACCATAGAATCACCCTTTTTAAGTTGCATCATAATTTAAGCGGACAATAGCTGGAGTACATATTTGCTAAACTTTATTTTGGGCAGCTTATGGTTTTTACCTATAAAGATTCCGTGTTGAACTGTTTGTTACAGCTTGTTTGACTTAAGCTGAAAATAACTTGAATAAGATATTTTAAGTTGCTTTTAGGAGGAGTGATGCTTTTGAAAATTTGCTTTAGCTTTTAAAAACCTGCTGCAGGCATGAACTAAGTAAAGTAAGCCATAAAGAGCTGCTTTTAGAATGCTGGTCAGGAGCTGCTGTAGCTTTTACGAAGCTGCAGCAAAGATATCTTGTACTTGTGCTTCAGGCCATAATTTGTAGGACAATGCCTGGATTTCAATGCTGATTGGACTTCACGATGCAAGCTCTTCCTGCTCCCTCTCAACCTTGCTATAAAGGAGATAAATATGGTTGTGATTTACGGAGTGAGATCCTTTTTCCTTCTTGGCAAATCATCTACCATGAATTCTAGTGGGACTCATTTTATATAAGTCGATCCCTCATTAATGCATGGTAGGTGATTTGCCGAGAAGGAAAAAGAGGAAATGTGTATTGGAGGGGATCTTAGTCTGTGGTTTGCTATTATAAAATTGCAGGTTTTGAGCTAGGAAGTTATAACTGATTTAGCTCGTGCATCTTTTGTAAGCTACTTAAAACAATTACAAGAAAGTGCAATGCTGCAATTTTTTCTTTTTTGGACATGTTTAGTTTTCACTTTTATTTTTCAACTAAGGTTTTGTCGTTCCAATTTCAGGGGCATCCTCGCAACGGTTGATGTTTTTTCTGACAATGTATTGGTGGGGGTAAGTTGTACACTGCATTTGTGCTTGGAGTCATATTCTTACTAGTTCTTTTTTAAATGGGCATGTTCTTATTAGTTTGTGTTACTATTAGCTTTTTTTTTGGGTCAGTGTTCCTGCCAGTTTTCTCAGAATAATTTCTTTGGCGACTTCTTGTTGATTTCCCAGAAGCTGTTATTTGTGAAGTTGTATGCTACTTGGGCAGGCTTAGTATTTTGATGATGCATTTGACGACAAAGGAAATGATTATTGTGTTTGTCAATATTAAGAGAGGCAAGGGACTTTGTTATTGCTTATTTATTCCCTTGCTTGTTGGACGCTGATGCAATAGATTCAGGTATAGTATATGTTAGGGTTGATGGTTCTAAAATATGTTTAGTAGTGTTGTATGGATAGATTCAATAACACAAGCACATGGAGGACAACTATTGGATAGCCATACACTAAGAAAGCAAAATTTGTAACTAAATGATATATTGGATTCAGTGGAAGGTTCAATTAGTTACTGGCTTTTGGAATATTGTCCTAATACTTGCTTGGGGAGTATGGCCAATGGATGGCATTATCTTGGCCTAATAGAATGTCCTAGTTGATGTTTTTCTGCAATTGAATATTACATACAAATAAAAATACTGGAATTAAAAAGCAAGCTTACGTGTGTTTCTAAAATATGTTTAGTAGTGTTGTATGGATAGATTCAATAACACAAGCACATGGAGGACAACTATTGGATAGCCATACACTAAGAAAGCAAAATTTGTAACTAAATGATATATTGGATTCAGTGGAAGGTTCAATTAGTTACTGGCTTTTGGAATATTGTCCTAATACTTGCTTGGGGAGTATGGCCAATGGATGGCATTATCTTGGCCTAATAGAATGTCCTAGTTGATGTTTTTCTGCAATTGAATATTACATACAAATAAAAATACTGGAATTAAAAAGCAAGCTTACGTGTGTTTCTAAAATATGTTTAGTAGTGTTGTATGGATAGATTCAATAACACAAGCACATGGAGGACAACTATTGGATAGCCATACACTAAGAAAGCAAAATTTGTAACTAAATGATATATTGGATTCAGTGGAAGGTTCAATTAGTTACTGGCTTTTGGAATATTGTCCTAATACTTGCTTGGGGAGTATGGCCAATGGATGGCATTATCTTGGCCTAATAGAATGTCCTAGTTGATGTTTTTCTGCAATTGAATATTACATACAAATAAAAATACTGGAATTAAAAAGCAAGCTTACGTGTGTTTCTAAAATATGTTTAGTAGTGTTGTATGGATAGATTCAATAACACAAGCACATGGAGGACAACTATTGGATAGCCATACACTAAGAAAGCAAAATTTGTAACTAAATGATATATTGGATTCAGTGGAAGGTTCAATTAGTTACTGGCTTTTGGAATATTGTCCTAATACTTGCTTGGGGAGTATGGCCAATGGATGGCATTATCTTGGCCTAATAGAATGTCCTAGTTGATGTTTTTCTGCAATTGAATATTACATACAAATAAAAATACTGGAATTAAAAAGCAAGCTTACGTGTGTTTCTAAAATATGTTTAGTAGTGTTGTATGGATAGATTCAATAACACAAGCACATGGAGGACAACTATTGGATAGCCATACACTAAGAAAGCAAAATTTGTAACTAAATGATATATTGGATTCAGTGGAAGGTTCAATTAGTTACTGGCTTTTGGAATATTGTCCTAATACTTGCTTGGGGAGTATGGCCAATGGATGGCATTATCTTGGCCTAATAGAATGTCCTAGTTGATGTTTTTCTGCAATTGAATATTACATACAAATAAAAATACTGGAATTAAAAAGCAAGCTTACGTGTGTTTCTAAAATATGTTTAGTAGTGTTGTATGGATAGATTCAATAACACAAGCACATGGAGGACAACTATTGGATAGCCATACACTAAGAAAGCAAAATTTGTAACTAAATGATATATTGGATTCAGTGGAAGGTTCAATTAGTTACTGGCTTTTGGAATATTGTCCTAATACTTGCTTGGGGAGTATGGCCAATGGATGGCATTATCTTGGCCTAATAGAATGTCCTAGTTGATGTTTTTCTGCAATTGAATATTACATACAAATAAAAATACTGGAATTAAAAAGCAAGCTTACGTGTGTTTCTAAAATATGTTTAGTAGTGTTGTATGGATAGATTCAATAACACAAGCACATGGAGGACAACTATTGGATAGCCATACACTAAGAAAGCAAAATTTGTAACTAAATGATATATTGGATTCAGTGGAAGGTTCAATTAGTTACTGGCTTTTGGAATATTGTCCTAATACTTGCTTGGGGAGTATGGCCAATGGATGGCATTATCTTGGCCTAATAGAATGTCCTAGTTGATGTTTTTCTGCAATTGAATATTACATACAAATAAAAATACTGGAATTAAAAAGCAAGCTTACGTGTGTTTCTAAAATATGTTTAGTAGTGTTGTATGGATAGATTCAATAACACAAGCACATGGAGGACAACTATTGGATAGCCATACACTAAGAAAGCAAAATTTGTAACTAAATGATATATTGGATTCAGTGGAAGGTTCAATTAGTTACTGGCTTTTGGAATATTGTCCTAATACTTGCTTGGGGAGTATGGCCAATGGATGGCATTATCTTGGCCTAATAGAATGTCCTAGTTGATGTTTTTCTGCAATTGAATATTACATACAAATAAAAATACTGGAATTAAAAAGCAAGCTTACGTGTGTTTCTAAAATATGTTTAGTAGTGTTGTATGGATAGATTCAATAACACAAGCACATGGAGGACAACTATTGGATAGCCATACACTAAGAAAGCAAAATTTGTAACTAAATGATATATTGGATTCAGTGGAAGGTTCAATTAGTTACTGGCTTTTGGAATATTGTCCTAATACTTGCTTGGGGAGTATGGCCAATGGATGGCATTATCTTGGCCTAATAGAATGTCCTAGTTGATGTTTTTCTGCAATTGAATATTACATACAAATAAAAATACTGGAATTAAAAAGCAAGCTTACGTGTGTTTTTTTATGAGAAACCAACGTTTTATTAATAAAAAGAGAAAAAAGAACATCAAATGATAAGAGTGGACAAGAAGTCCAAATCTCAAATAACAAAATGCAACAAGAAGAAAGAAAAACAGAAATCAGAGGACAACTCATGGACGATGCCGAAAGACTACAAGTCACAAACGGTCCTCCATCCTATCAACTACAAAAGAGTGGCATTCCCTTAAAGTCTTTAGTACTGAGGCCCAGACCGANAAATTTGTAACTAAATGATATATTGGATTCAGTGGAAGGTTCAATTAGTTACTGGCTTTTGGAATATTGTCCTAATACTTGCTTGGGGAGTATGGCCAATGGATGGCATTATCTTGGCCTAATAGAATGTCCTAGTTGATGTTTTTCTGCAATTGAATATTACATACAAATAAAAATACTGGAATTAAAAAGCAAGCTTACGTGTGTTTCTAAAATATGTTTAGTAGTGTTGTATGGATAGATTCAATAACACAAGCACATGGAGGACAACTATTGGATAGCCATACACTAAGAAAGCAAAATTTGTAACTAAATGATATATTGGATTCAGTGGAAGGTTCAATTAGTTACTGGCTTTTGGAATATTGTCCTAATACTTGCTTGGGGAGTATGGCCAATGGATGGCATTATCTTGGCCTAATAGAATGTCCTAGTTGATGTTTTTCTGCAATTGAATATTACATACAAATAAAAATACTGGAATTAAAAAGCAAGCTTACGTGTGTTTCTAAAATATGTTTAGTAGTGTTGTATGGATAGATTCAATAACACAAGCACATGGAGGACAACTATTGGATAGCCATACACTAAGAAAGCAAAATTTGTAACTAAATGATATATTGGATTCAGTGGAAGGTTCAATTAGTTACTGGCTTTTGGAATATTGTCCTAATACTTGCTTGGGGAGTATGGCCAATGGATGGCATTATCTTGGCCTAATAGAATGTCCTAGTTGATGTTTTTCTGCAATTGAATATTACATACAAATAAAAATACTGGAATTAAAAAGCAAGCTTACGTGTGTTTCTAAAATATGTTTAGTAGTGTTGTATGGATAGATTCAATAACACAAGCACATGGAGGACAACTATTGGATAGCCATACACTAAGAAAGCAAAATTTGTAACTAAATGATATATTGGATTCAGTGGAAGGTTCAATTAGTTACTGGCTTTTGGAATATTGTCCTAATACTTGCTTGGGGAGTATGGCCAATGGATGGCATTATCTTGGCCTAATAGAATGTCCTAGTTGATGTTTTTCTGCAATTGAATATTACATACAAATAAAAATACTGGAATTAAAAAGCAAGCTTACGTGTGTTTCTAAAATATGTTTAGTAGTGTTGTATGGATAGATTCAATAACACAAGCACATGGAGGACAACTATTGGATAGCCATACACTAAGAAAGCAAAATTTGTAACTAAATGATATATTGGATTCAGTGGAAGGTTCAATTAGTTACTGGCTTTTGGAATATTGTCCTAATACTTGCTTGGGGAGTATGGCCAATGGATGGCATTATCTTGGCCTAATAGAATGTCCTAGTTGATGTTTTTCTGCAATTGAATATTACATACAAATAAAAATACTGGAATTAAAAAGCAAGCTTACGTGTGTTTCTAAAATATGTTTAGTAGTGTTGTATGGATAGATTCAATAACACAAGCACATGGAGGACAACTATTGGATAGCCATACACTAAGAAAGCAAAATTTGTAACTAAATGATATATTGGATTCAGTGGAAGGTTCAATTAGTTACTGGCTTTTGGAATATTGTCCTAATACTTGCTTGGGGAGTATGGCCAATGGATGGCATTATCTTGGCCTAATAGAATGTCCTAGTTGATGTTTTTCTGCAATTGAATATTACATACAAATAAAAATACTGGAATTAAAAAGCAAGCTTACGTGTGTTTCTAAAATATGTTTAGTAGTGTTGTATGGATAGATTCAATAACACAAGCACATGGAGGACAACTATTGGATAGCCATACACTAAGAAAGCAAAATTTGTAACTAAATGATATATTGGATTCAGTGGAAGGTTCAATTAGTTACTGGCTTTTGGAATATTGTCCTAATACTTGCTTGGGGAGTATGGCCAATGGATGGCATTATCTTGGCCTAATAGAATGTCC